ATGAGAATTAGAAGGGAGCATGATATCATAGTTAGAACTTAGAATGGAAAGGTTGATCAAGCCAAAGGCGATGCTCGAATGGGTTTTCCTAATTGTCACTGCAGTACCTAATTTTTAGCGCATTTTTGGACTTTAGGTCAAATAATACATCAAAGTAGAGTCGATGACTCTTAAAAATGCATTTGTAAGACTTCAAAATCAAATTAGGAGTTTGAGGCCTTTGTTTGTTTTCTACTAGACCAACCTCTTGGGGTTAATTTTGAATCATTTAAAATGCATCTGTCATGCATGCTAATTAAATATTAAGAATGTTTGTTCTAATTTCGAATCTTTCAACAACTTATTAAGTTGTATAAATATGTCGAGTATTTTCTGATAAGACGGGGCAAGTGGACTTGTGGTTTGGGCGAGGAAGATGCATGTTAGCTTGCTGCTGATAATGTGAAGCAGTCACTCTCTTCATTTCTTATTTGTGGGAACCAGTCACTTTCAGCAAGTAGTCAACTGTCTTGCGTTTCCATTGCTGAAAACAATTGGGTTAAATTAGTAATCAACATGATTATAAGCTAAGTTTTATCATTATTAAATTAGATATATACGTCATTATAAGGTATATCATGCATCATCTAGTTATCATTAAAGGAAACTTTTAGGAAACGTACTAAATTTGGGGTGAGCGTAATCTAGTTTGGGTCGATTTCAAAGATAGAAACATATTATAATTTGATAACTATTTTTGTTTTCAAGTTTTAGTTTTTTTAATTTTTAGCTTTTTGTTTTTATTTTTTTAACTAAAAGCTTATTTGGCAACTAGATTCAATTTTTAGTTTTGGAAAAATTTAAAAACAAAAAATTAAAAGCCGTAGTTTTGAAAACTAAAAGAGTAGATTTAGATTGAGATTTTCAGCTTTTCTTTTTTCTCATTTAATATTAAAAGTAGTTATCAAACGAGTTTTCAGTTTTTTATTTAAAAAAATATATATGAAAACAAAAACTACAAATTGGCAAGTGGTGAATTGTTATAGTGGTTAGGACATTCCTCGTTAACCCACTGCATCATGCGTCCAAATCTTCTCGCCTCCCATTCGTATAGTTTAGAGTAAGAATATTGCTTATACTAAAAAAAATTGCAAATTGAAAACGATGGTTAACAAAGGATCTATTAGCAATACACCCTGAATTATACATCTTGACCTACTTTACTGTATGAACCTTGAATTTGGTTATGAGCTTTCCTAAATTTCAAATCGTGTCAATATTCCTACCGTCGTCTGTACTATAAAAGCATTACGATTATGTACCATCCCATACACTTTATGGTGTCACTTTGCGTTGGAACTTTGTGTGAGCTACTTCTTCAAACTCTTCTTTTAAAGATTTTAATTTGCCTATTGGCTCTATTCTTTTCAAAGGACAACAGAAAAGTGGCTTTTTTTCCCATCCCCATTCCCCACCATTGCTTCACCCACGGTGGCTGTCTGCACTCCCTGCCAAATGAAAACGAATATTAATTTTGTTTAGTCCTTAACGATACATGTGCGTACAATTGTTTGTTGATAATCAATACACGTACGTACGATTAAATTTCAAAAATACGACGTCAAATCTTCTATTTACCTTCATGAGATTTTGGAAGTGTAATGGTCACAAAAGGAAGAAATCGTTAGAAGTTTTTGTATCTTGTCATATTTTCGAGTCGTATTATTAATTTTACGTATTGTAATATGATCGTATGACATTATCATGTATCATGGCTCAAGATATATATATATATATATATATATATATATATATATATATATAGTACTAATAAACGAATACATATGTTACCACGATCACATTGAGGAAATTTTAAATGCTTATGAAGGAGGGGGGATGCTTAGCTATCTAAATAAAAGACTCAAAATTTTTTTTTTTCTACGAGGAAGATAAATTGATAGAGAGCTACATGGCTACTAAAGATTTTGGAGGAAGTCTCCATCAAAACAATTTTGATGTTGATTTACAAAATTTTCTACTTATGATCGGAACCGTATATATTATAAATTATTAATTTTTTATTAGCGGTTTGTGTGGTTGGATGGATTGTTGAAGACTTGAAGTATAATCTTTTATGAAATCCCAGTCAATGATATAACATGGCACTTCTGACATATTCTTCAGATTAAATTAAAGGATCTATAAAAGTATGTAGTATATATGACTTTTTTTTCCCATAAATTATTTAGAACATGTGTTACCCATTTTACTAATAGTAATGCAAACTAATCAATAAAAGAACCACTACAGGGTGATTCAGTAGTCGGGGATGAATTCTAGGTCCGATCTCAACACATTCTAAGTTTGATTCTTGGCACTAGTGAACCACACGATGGTAACCAGGGGGAAGTTGAAATATCCCTGTGAGTGTTCCTGGCCCCAAAATTGTGAAATGCCGTAGCAAAGTTACCAACTGATCCCCTATTGAAAAAAAAAAAAAAACAAAACAAAACTAATCAATTAAAGGGAAAGATTAATAGTACATTAAGTTTCATCAACTAGATAGTGTGGATTTGGATTTAAGGTTAAGAATACAATGGTAGTGTGGCTAGAATGATTCAAGTTTGACTCGTGTTTTGCTTGTTCAAACTCGGTTCATAAGTAAAATGAGCTGAGATTGAACAAAATATTTGGCTCTTAACACTTGTGAGCAGCTCTTGTGTTGAACATGCAATCATTTCAAAACATTTACCTTATCTTTTTGGCATTTGCTCTTTAGGGTTGGCCATGAGGGTAGTTCATGTAGGCACCTAGGCCCCCCACTTTGGAGAGGCTCCCAAAATTTTTATATATCCTGTAATTAACATACAAATACAGAAAAAGTAGGAAATATCATAATCCATTTGTTGGTGTAGTGGAAATGTTCGGCTTCCTTTTTCTTTTGTGTTTTGAGTTTGAAACTTGGAGCTACCTTTTTAATCACTAGTTTTTTCTTGTTTTTCAAATTTAATCCCAATCCATTTTGTCCAAATGCATATAAAGTTATAAAACTCAAGTCTCTTTGAAATTTTTTTTTCTTTCAACTTCCCAATCTCTCCATTTCAATTGAATGTTTAAATTAACTATCACATGGTCTTGAATATTGTACTTTAAGGTAATTAAAACTTTGAATTTATATTTTGCTTTTCAATAATTTATTATTCAATGGATTATTTTAATATTTGATTTGTTAGTGTGATGTTGATTCAAGGAAAAATAAAAACAATTGGCGCTATTAAATTTATTATACTCGCCAATCAAGTTTTATTGTTCTTTACTCTCTTGATCATCAAGTTTTATTGCTCTTCACTCTCAATCTTAGACTCTTGACTACAAATATTTAGTACATTTGCGTCTAAAAACGTGTGACTTATAATATTTAAGTAATGTTTGCCTATCTATCTTCTTTTGATATTTGATGTGAAATAATTTTTTATGTATTTAACGATTTTTTTTTTTATACATATCAATGTACAAAGAACCTAAAATCAAAAAACTTTAAACTTCCATGCGAAAACCTGTCCAGGACCGCAAACTGCTACTTTTTTTAACTCAATGCATCTCAATTTCAACTCTTCCATTTTTTTAGTCCAACTTATTAGTACTTGGACCGCAAACCTGTGCTACTTTTTTAACTCAATGCATCTCAATTTCAACTCTTTCATTTTTTTAGTCTAACTTATTAGTGAGAGTAATAATACGTAATCTGAAAAAAAAAATGAGGAGAGGAGAAGTCAGAGTTGTCAAAGAAAATTAGAATCGGGAAGGGACAGATTGGAGGGAGGGAATTCAACTGCTAAGCAAACAAGTGTTGGTTACAGCTGTATTCACGACCACCGCTATCCCTCTCATCTGCTCATCTCTTACTTTTATTTCTTTAATTCTTTAGATAATAATCCATGTATTAATAATGATAAACACAATAATCATCTTCGTTCTCGTGGTCACTGGTCACCAGAAAATAAAGTTATCTTTTTTGGCAAAAAAATACAAGATAAAATATGCGGCATTGGATTTGATATTAAACGTCAAAATTAAAGTGCATTTTTAAATTACTAAATAATTAAGAGAACGTTTAATTTTATATATTTATTTTCACAGGATGTCAGCCCATTTTTATTTATGAATTTTTGTTGAGAGATTGTTACTTTTTTTTTAAGCAATATTTTATATTAAGAAAAAAAATGTATGAACTTGAAATACAATTAGTTGAAGTGAAATGTTTTAACCGTCAAAACAATCACCAGTTGTACTATTTATCTTCATTGTACGTTAAGTATAGGTTTGTTTTGGAATATCTTATAAGATAATGGTTGCCGGGGTCACAATTTACGTTCAAGGAGTGGTTTCCACCCATTTCAATTCACTATATCGATTCTTTTATAAATTATTCAATCTAAACTGCTAAAATAAATAAGAAAATGCAGGAGGTGAAAAGATGAGTGCACAAAAGACTCTCGGTTAAACTGATGTGGCCCTTTTACTGTTGTGACAACTTTTGTTATTTTTTGGTTGAACGTTGTTTCTTGGTTTCAAGCATATGACAATATAAGAGTGACAAAATATTGCCATATGGATGAAATTGTTTTTAGTGTATCGGAAATAAGGCACAGTAAAACAAGTGTAATATTAAAGTGGGTTGGAAATTTAAAAAAACAATTACAATCAATTGTATTATGGCACTTTGTGTAACAAGTTGTGTTATCGGTATACTATAATTTTATTTTTCATATATATGAAGAGGAGATTATTTTCATTTAATTTTTGTTTATGAATTAAAATAAAGAAAACACAGTGGGAATTAAAATGAAAGTAAAATACGTTATATAGTGATGACTGATGCAGGTGGAGCTGAGCCAGAGTGAGAAAGGAAGAGAAGAAAATGACGATGGTATTTTTGGTTTGTTTACGGTGAGAAGGCAGAGGGGAGGGGAGGGAAAAGAGTGGTGCTCTGGTGTGCTGTGTGTCCTTTTGATCCCCCCACAGCCTACTACGTGATATCCAAAGCCGACTCACAGTACAGAAAGACACCCAACAGCAGCAGTTCCCACTTCCCATCTCTCTCTCTCTCTCTCTCTCTCTCTCTCTCTCTCTAGAGTTGCTGCTGAAGTTCACATCAATCATTTACTCATATATTTATTGCACCCACATTCGGTTCCTTCCCTTTCCCTAAAAGAAGGTAAGAGATTTGTCCTATTGGATAATCCAGTTTTTGGCGTTTCTTTCTCTCTCACTTGTCCTTGTTCTTGTTCTTGTTTTCTTGGGACTTGTGGTTCTCTGCTGCTCAATCAGTGGTTTTATTTCAGCTGCGCAATATTTAGGTACTCCCGCAATTCTCATCTCTTTTTCTCTTTTGTTTTTGTTCTGTCGTGATGCTTGCAAATTAACTTTGTTTGTGTGACTCTTGACTCTGCTTTTTTATCTGTACTCTCAATGTTTCTGATACTTTGGGGGTTCCATCGTGCTGAATTGTGTACTTTGTATGGAAAAATTTTGTGGGTTGAGCTTAGTTTGATGAAATTTGAATTTGGCTGAGCTTAGTGTGTTGACATTTGAACTGTGTTGGTTGGCTTGTTTTAGCTTCAATGGTCTGTTGGATGCAAGAGTTTTGTTGTTCAGTATGTTGATTACTAATTAGTAATTATCCACTTGCCCCACAAACAAGGGGAGGGTTCTGAAATTTATTGGTTTGATTAGTCTTGGATTTCTATGCAACTGATTCTTAGAAGCCTAATCTTTGCTGTTCTGATGGGAAACTGCACAAGACGATACGAGTAATGGAAATTTTTAAATTCAGGTCAATCCACACAAAAAGCTTCATAATTTGAACACAGCCAAGACAATCTGCTTAGGTGAAGCATTGTTGACCTCATTGATTTGTTACTTTCTTAGATTTTGTAAGTGCATCTTCTTTTCCCTGTTTATCTGTATAGAGTGGACTGTGGTTGGCTTGAATTTAAAGGAATGCGAAGTTGGTTTTAGGTTAATGTAATTTGACCAGAGATTACTAAATTAGTGTGAAATTGAGTTGAAGACTTGTCACATGAGGTAAAGAGGGCAAGTCAATTGCGTCCTATGAACAACCCTTACAAATGACACGAGATGTTTTACCTTGAATGGAAACTTATCTGTTGTTAAATTGGCTTGAATGTTCATTTATTTAAATGGAAACCCTGCTTCACTTACTGGCTGAGGTTTGATAAAACGCCAAATGGGCCTTATATTCATTACTTCTTCTCCAATAACATCGCTCTTTGTATAAATGCATAACTAATTGTGTGTATGAGATACAACACGTGTTATGCTGCTGTGGTGTATATTGAATCCACGCGTATAATAATGCTTGTACAATCATTAATACAGTATGATGGGTTAAAGTTCAACATTTAGGATTTATGTATTAATGATTCTACACTCATTATTATATGGGTGGATTTGATGCACTGCGTCAGCATGCTACATGGTGCATTCGATAACACAGTAACTTCTTGAATAAATGAACTGAAACACTGTGAAAGTACCTTATATTAAGAACATCCACTGCGCCAGCTTTCCTTCTCTTGGTAGTTTTATGTTTATTCGAAGAAGAAAGTATGATCCTGTCTTTTGTTAGTATCTTTCTTATATATGGGAAATCTATCAGAAAACTAATCATGTGTATAACAACTATTTTGAGCTACAATTCTCAAGGCCTGAAGCCGAATTCCATGATTTGTAAACTTGGGTTTGTGATACATAATCCAAGTCCACTCAGGTAATTGTATGTTATTCTTTCTGTATAACATCATTGAATAATTGGTTAGAAAGTCGTTAACTTCATTAGGAACATTACATTACGTTAGTTGATTTGTAATGGGACTGTTTGATAATGAATGTTCTGCGATATTGAGTGAATTGTCAGATAAAATCCTGAATATGATTTGGCATTAGTTCGACATTAAATTGATCAATTAGAGCTCTGCAGCTGTGCAAGTTAAAGACTTTGTGTAGCTTTGAAGTTAAAGACTTTGTGTAGCTTTGAAGCCGGGTTCTTGCATACAATCAAAGCTTCTTCTTGCTGAAACCGACCATGGGTTGTTATTTGGTGTTCTCCTTTGATTTATTCCACCCAATTGATTTATCTGCTTCTATGACTTGTAATGAAATATTGAGGAATCTCTTCTTGGCGTGCAAAGCTTTGATATTTTTCTCACTGTAGCCCCCTTATATGGCAGGTAGTTGGTTCTGAGAATTCACTAAAAACTGAAAAGCAAAAATCAGATAATGTTTTTTTTCTTATGTTTCAATTTTGGAGGTGAGCTATGCCAAAATTGTAATGTTACCTGCTTTGGTGAGGTTTAGAGCTATATTAGAGGTTTCAGATCTTCCTCTCGTGGTCTTATAGTGTTGTTTTTCGACGTTGTTGTCTAAATACTTGTGGTTCTCCACTGAATGTTCATACTGGCTCTGTTGTCACTCCATATCAGTTCAGTTTATTAAAGTTGAGAAAATTGGATTGAAATGGTGAAAGTCACAGATCCCGTTTTGATATTCATAACGGTACTTGTTTTTACTTGTTTATTCTTCAAATATTAAATAGTTATTGCCATGTGTATTGTTAGACGTCTAGTTGGGCGCAAATGGTCAAGGGATTTGAAATTTTCAACAATTGTTAAGACCTCTGAGTACATAAGGAACGGTCACTGTGGGTGAGTATACCTAAAACCTTCTGTTTCTCATCTTGCCAAAAGCCTTCGGCAGCCTTTCAGATAGTGTTTACGTTTTTCTAATGCTGTCATTTTGAGCACTATAACAGCGTTTTTTTTTTTAGATAATAATAAAAGTAATATTTATTATTCAATTTTGTCTACTTACTATGTGATGCTATTGTCTTTATGCTTTCCTTTTATCTTAGAAATAGGACCCTAGAAAGAGAAACTCTTAGTCCCCCACATAACACTTTAACACCCTCTGACATTGATATGCCATCGAATTTCATTACTTAATTTTTGTGATCTAATTGTCGCTATTCTGTTGATGCACAGGCCGTCCAAGATCGTGGCTTTAGATATAATGGGGAAATTTTTGTGACCAGAATGGATCCTCAGGCTTTTATTAGGTTGTCAATAGGCTCACTTGGACTAAGGATTCCTGGAACACCTTTAAAGTCTGAAAAATCTGGTATTCATGCATTCTCTTCCCCATATTCATGTGAAATTCGCCTTCGAGGATTCCCTATGCAGACAGCATCAATTCCCTTAGTATCTTCTCCTGAAGCTGCTACACCTGATTCTCATAGCACTGCCTCCAGTTTTTATCTTGAAGAATCTGATATTAAAGCACTGCTGGAACCCGGCTGTTTCTACAATCCTCATTCATGTCTGGAGATCGCTATTTTCACTGGGAAGAAGGGATCCCACTGTGGTGTAGGGACCAAAAGGCAGCAAATTGGGACATATAAGCTTGAGGTTGGTCCTGAATGGGGGGAAAGAAAGTCAGTGGTTCTTTTCAGTGGGTGGATAGCAATCGGCAAAAACAAGCAGGAGAATGGAAAATTGAGTGCGGAGCTTCATTTGAGAGTAAGGCTAGATCCTGATCCGAGATATGTTTTCCAGTTTGATGATGCAACAAAACTTAGTCCTCAGATAGTTCAGCTTCAAGGCTCCATTAAACAGCCTATTTTCAGCTGCAAGTTCATCCGAGACAGGTGATGTGACTTATTTTAACTTTATAATTTACATTACTTGTTCAAGATTTTTGAGGATGCTACAGTTTTAAGATTTCAGAACTTTTGTCTGTCAAATGTTTATACTGGTTCTAGATTCTTGTTCGATGAACAAGGATTGCTGAGTTGTATGGTTTTGACTGCATTAGTTTCAAGAGGCAATTTGTCGTTTTGAATTTGCAGATTGCAGTGTAAGATACAACTCGGGAGTGCCTAAAAAAAGTTTGTTGATTATCTTGCCACATCATTGTCATACGGTCTTTTGTATTAAAAAACTCACTGTACTTGTCTTGTGTCATTTTCCCGAGTCCCCTTGTTTGCCTCATCACAAAACAGCTTCTTTCTTATTTTCTATTTGATTTTCAACGTGTGCCTTGTCAGGAATCAAGGTGACCTACAATGTTACATAATAAATTTCGGATTAATCAGAACTTTTTAGTTTTATTAATGAATATCCAGGAAGTGTTCGATACAGTATCCAACGCTCCAAATTTCCTCTCTTGCTATGAACAGTTTGGTTTTCTAATTTGAATTCACAATTGTGTCGATGTAGTTTTGATGGTTTAATGAATTTGCAGGGTTCCCCAGGTGGATCCACTGAGCACATACTGGTCAGGTGCTGCTAACAATCCTGATCTGGATACAGAGAGAAGAGAGAGAAAGGGATGGAAGGTGACAATACATGATCTCTCTGGCTCGGCTATTGCAGCAGCCTTTATAACAACCCCATTTGTTCCAGCAACAGGTTGTGATTGGGTTGCAAGGTCCAACCCAGGAGCTTGGTTGATTGTTAGTCCTGATGCTTACAGGCCTGATAGCTGGCAGCCATGGGGAAAGCTTGAGGCATGGCGTGAGCGTGGCATCAGAGACTCCGTTTTCTGTCGATTTCGCCTTCTGTCAGAATGCCAGGAGGCTGTGGATCTCTTCATGTCTGAAATCCGCATCAATGCTGAAAAGGGTGGAGATTTTTCCATAGACACAGACAAACAGATGCAGGCAGCAGCGGCAACAGCAGCCGCCAGTCCGATACCAAGCCCCCAAACCAGTGGAGACTTTGCAGGTTTGTATCCAGATGTTGGTGGTTTCGTCATGAGCTGTAGAGTGCAAGGGGAAGGAAAAGCCAGCAAGCCATTGGTACAACTAGCAATGAGGCATGTGACTTGTGTGGAGGATGCCGCCATCTTCATGGCTCTTGCAGCTGCAGTTGATCTCAGCATTGAGGCATGTAGGCCCTTCCGGAAGTTCAGGAAACCCTCCTGCCCTTCTATATGATTCCGTGCACATAAAACAGCTATAGTTTTTATTGATTGATGTAGCATCTGGCATTATGTACAGGAAAACTCTTATTTAGAACTCTCAAAGATTGTTTAAGTACTCATTCATGGTACCAGTAAGCCAACACGGCGTCGTTATACATCTCGTTGGGCAGTATACTATTTTATCATGGGAGGATAGGCTTTGGGAAAACATATAACTTTTTGCTTATAAATCGAACTGAAAACTTGGTGAATTTCTTCATTTCCTCGGAGAAAAACCCTAAAAGCCTAGGAAATTCTAGAGTCGTTGGCTCTTACGCAGAATTAGGTGCCCTAAATTCGTTTAGGCCAATACAGTTGGATGCCTTGATAAGCAAGAAAACTTATGCATCACCGGTTGTGGGTTGTATGCAATCGGATACACGTACAATTTTCTGTTAAGCAAATATTCAACGAGGAGTACACGGTAAAACCAAGATGTCACTTAAAAGAAAGGGAAGAAGAAACAATTAGGTTGGTTCTTTTGATTCCATGTCGTTCTCACACGTTATGGACTTATTCGGGAACAGATGGATCCAGCAGGAAGGAAAGGGAAAGAATAGAAGAATAACTAGTATCAAATCTTTCGTTTCTTCATTCAATAGCATAGTTGCAAACAAACTGAAATTCAAAGATTGTCGAGGGAACGGAAAATATCAATACATGCAAGAGAATAAGGATCCATAGAAAACCATCGTACGAAACAGAACAAAAGACGATGGAGAACCAAAACCACGCGATGTTAGCAATGTTACAACAACCATCACATTAGGCTTCTGTTGTCTGAAACAGTGTATCAACTTCTCCAATAATGGTTCGAGCTTCTTCAATTTCAGGACCTTCCTTCTGGTTCAACTCTTCTTCTACTTCAGCCTGAAAGTAATTATGTTGCTTAACAAATTGGGGTTATCGGAGTCGTTAATTGAAATTAGGGTTAACCAAGACTGTACATACCAAAATTCCTTTCAGGTCAGCTAATGAGGCCTCCAAGCGTTTCCGGCAATCGGGAATCATCATCCTAGATTCAGCCAGCACATTTTCCTGTAAGGAAACCAAGAAGACATGAATTTTATTTGGAAGGGATATGCATCTATCCATTTAACTTTTCATTTCTTCAGTTTTTACTTCTCAATGAAGTAGCTTAACAAAGGAAATAGGAGAACTTCAAGCAATCAGAAGTAAGATTGATTCAATGGCCTTCAGTTTGAACATTAGGTGATGGGAAAAACTACTATAACCTATTTAGAACTAATGGGTCTCCAAAAAATAAAAAAAACATAGAACAGTCAATCAACTAATTAATGCATTTTAAACCTTCATTCTTTTGTCAAAAGCTTGTAAATTACCACAATTTTTACACACAAGCAAGCAAACAAATAAGTTATCAGCCAACAGGAATTTGGTTCGAAAAGTTTACTACTAGAATTAGTGAAAAATAAGAAACAAAAATTTAGGAATTATTTTTCTACTACTGCGGTACAGGCTTGGCAAGTGACTTTCCACATTTATTCATGGGTGCAAAGTACATCTTACCCATTTCTGAACATTATAAGGTTACAATAACGATATAATATTAAGCAAACAAGTAGAACAAGTTGATTGATGCCGAAAATATTCAAAAGAAAAACGGCAACCTAATTTGAGAAATCTTAACGAAGCTGTATACTTAGCAATCCAGTAATATATACCCACTACAAGGAATGAAATATACCTAAAAGGCTAGAACACATAAAATCCAAAAACAGTTGATAACTGACTCGCATATGACAAACAGAATATATGACAGGTTGCCGCAATCAAAACAGCTAAGCAACATAGAGAGAAGTTCAGGAACTTATAAGTTTAGAAAACCCAGAAACCGTGTTATTCCTAATTGTACAAGGGTGGTGCTATCCACACACCCATTTTTACCTCTCACACACCCCTTTCAATTTCTAGAGCCATCGGAACGAATGAATTGAAGAAGATCAATGGACAAATTAACAAGGGTGTGTGAGAGGTAAAATGGGATGTGTGAAAAGCACTATCCATTGTACAAATTTTGACTGAACAAATAAAAATCTTGAATTACCACATAACAAATTTGTGGGTTTCAACTAATCAAATGTCTGCGACAACAATAGTTTTATGAGGAGAAGAACTGCAAGATTATATTAATTAAAAGAAGATGACAACTTAATGATTCTACATGGTGTCTGATGCATGTCATGACTCGTGATTCATGACCAAACCTGTTGCTTCAGGTCATAAGGATCAGCTCCTTTCTCTTTCATGTCTGCTGTTTTTGCAGCTTCTCTCTCAACCTCTTTCTCATATGAATGAAGCTCCTTAACGATGCGTTTGCAAGTACCAGTCTTGATTTTCAGATTTCTTAGGGTTGCCATGGTAACCTATCAAAAGAATCACTTTCTTGAGCATGTACAAAATATGGGACCATAATAAATATTCAATCTGAGCTTTCTTTTCATCAACACATGCTATTTCAATGGATTTAAACCAAAGATACGATTCACGTTGTCCTCATTCACGTCAACAACTGGCGGAGTGGCGAAGCCAAGAATTTATCGTAATGGGTGCAAAAATAATAATAACAATAGCAGTATCAAACAGAAAAAAGACTTAGATTAACAATATTTCATTCCTACTAGAGCATATATTACTACACAAACGTGCACCCGTTGCCGCGCTACACTGGAGTTGTACAACGGATAGAACAGATCATGGTATAGTGTTTCAAGAAGAAAACCCCATCAATGGTAAACATCTCAAAAGGGAAAATACAATCTACCCAATGTCTGATTGTTAACTTTAGCACATAAACAAGCATAAAATAAGCAAAATGCAGACTCAGAGGCACAAAATTTTGAGTTTTAAAAGGGTAAAGTAAACAGATCCATCAGTGGCCGAAAGATTCATGATTAAGATAGCATTTGGGGAATTTCTTTCAGGCATTTGGTCGAACACATAAGAGGATTGGAGGCAAAGTCCAAAACCCTTGAAAGAAATATATGAAAAACGTGCCCAGTGAGGGCAGTGATCTAACATTCAACAATCTAGATGAGAGAGAGAGAGAGAGAGAGTACCTGTTGTAAATATAGGAGCTTTTGGGTGGGATGCTGCTCTTACAAGTGAGGGAGAGCAGTACAATGATGGCAGCAAACTGGAGACGAAGATGAAGTGGACAAAACCCGATTCCGTATTCTTTCGCCTTTTCCTCTCTTTCGGGTGTGTTCTGCTGTGTCCAATCCTCTGTGCCAACCCTGTGACTAGTCTAGTTGTTTGACATCTGTCCCTTGAATTAACACCCACATAACAGAGGATAATATCACAAACACCCCGAGGATTTTCTTGTTTTCATTTTCACAAAACTCCTTTAGGTTCTAGAAATTACACTAAGGATTGGTTTGGGATTATTGTGTTTAAAAACTGCTTCTGCTGTACTTTTTAAAAAAATGCTTCTACTGTATTTTTTTTTGGTTATGCTGTGTTTTAAGAATAATCAACTGTAAAGTAAAGCAGATAAGCATTTAGTTGATTGTGTTTTAAACGTGTTGTGATTTTGAAAAGTAATATAAAATTGTTTGGTAAATTTTAATAAAAAATTAATATGATTGTATATAATGACAAAATGGACATAGTAGTAGGAGCCCGGGCAACGACAGCAGTGGCGGGTTGGTGGGGGTGATGGTAGTAGCAATGATGGAGGTATGGTGGTGGTGCTAATAGTGGGATGTGATGGTTCAGTTGTAGAGGTAACAATGGTGGTAGGGAGGTTGTAGCACCGGTGGCAGCATTGTGGTGATGGTTGTGGTGCTAATAGTGGGATGTGATGGTTCAGTTGTAGAGGTAACAATGGTGGTAGGGAGGTTGTAGCACCGGTGGCAGCATTGTGGTGATGGTGGTGGTGTTGGCGGCAATGGTGGCGATGATGGTGGTGACTATGTCGGTAGTGACGGTTTTGATTGTGGTGGTGGTTGCGGTTATGGTGATGATGTTGGCGATGGTGGTTGCAACAGTGGTGACAATGGTGGTGGAGGCGGTTGTGGTTGTGGACACAGTGACGGAGGTTGTGGTTATGGTGGTGGTGGTGGTGGCAACCTTAATGGTGGTGGTAGGAAATAACAGTCACTTTATTCTCTAAGAGATAAAATGTGTGTGGAATGCTAAAAATGTCATTTTCAAAAAATTAATGAAGTTATTACAGCAATTGAAAATGTTCATTAAAGGCTCAAGTCAGCCTTTTATTAAAGTAGCTTCTAAAAGTTGCTATTTTGGCCACTTAGCATTACGATCTAATCATATTCCTCTTCACTTGTAAGTGAGAGGTCTTAGATTAATTCTTGCTAAAGACGAATTTGAATCACATTATTGCTAGCCTATTGTGAGGCTTAGCCCACTTCCTCATCCTTTAATGCAGATAATATCGTTTATTCAAAAAAAAAAAATATATATATATATATATATTAGCCAACTATTTGCCCTATTTTGCAATATGTTCTCAAAACTGGGGAGGCGTTACCCCTATTGTATATCAGGGGGTTTACAGCTTTTGATATTTGCTCCTTCAATTGTTCCTCTTTTTTACTAGTTCTATTATATATACATACGTTCACTCATACGCTCTGCATATTTCTTGCTATCCATGCTTATTAATGATCTATGTGCCAAATTTGATTCTTGTATAACTTATTAAGTTGTGGCTGCTGCTTTCTTTCAGATTTTTAATGTTAAAATCATCCATCTTGTTTCAGGATGTAGCAAGATTGATGAGCAAGATAAGCTTATTTGGGTCACTTAGTAAGTTAATAAAACTAAAATGAAAATAAAAAATACATACATACATTCCATTCAAAAATTCATAAGAGCTCTGAAATCCTAACTGGTCAATTAGTAAGTTAATACAACAATGTATTTGAATTCACTCCACTAGTTGCTACAAATATTTTATAGCTAGCATCGCGTGCAATACTAGTTTTCTCCATTATGACTGGCGACTTTGTTAGAGAAGCACTTCGTTACAAACTGCAGCTTTTCTCGAACCAGATTCCGACATTTGCATTTCTCCAGGACATGCCATTTTTCATTGAGTGAGAAAATAGTGAATAAGGAAAGAGCAAAAGCTGAAGCAACCCCAGTAACGAGGAATAAACCGCGAAAGGAGCTGAAGTTCAGAGCATTCGGATCATTATTATTCGAGTCGTCAAATGTAAGAGGTGTTTTACTAAACCAAGTTTGTTCCATCTCTAGTAGTTTTCCTTCTTCTCTTAGAATTTCAATTTGCCTTGACATGTCATGGACCAATTGCGAACCTTTCGGGAAAACCTGATACAAAACATGAACACGAATTAATCAGCTTATAATAAATTTCTGCTATTTATTGAAAGTTTGTTGTATAGTTTATTAAAATTCTGATTGCACGTTAATTATCGGGTAGAAATACATCTTCAAGCTAAAAAATATCATGCGTATTCGCTAATTTTAGTGCGTATTAAATTAATGCATGTCAATTAGGGAGCGAGGTTACTAACAAAGCCGAAACCATTGGTTATAGACTCGGTCTTAATCATTGAGTAGTCAGCGGAATACTTTGCGAGGAAGGCCTTGATGTATGGAACCTCGTCAACGATAGCAGAAACACCACCATGCTTACTTCCTCTTGATAAAGCATCAACATATTCTTCAATTGAATCTATTTGATAACCTATATAGTTCCCCGGGTTTAACTGTATTTGTTTGACAGTCATCATTGATGCTAATGTTGCAGTGTAACTGGAAGTCAGTATAAGCACAACAAACACCCATATGATCACTACAAACTTTGCCAAGTTGCTTAGTATCTTCTCCCCTGTATGAATTAACAAATAAAGATCTTAAAATATATATTTTTGAGTTGAGCATTTCTTCATTAGCTGAAGTAAAAGTTGTATAACATTAACTGGATAAGTGATGAGATTATAGAGCACTTACTATGAGCAAACACAAGGGTTGAGAAGGAGAACCAAAATATTGTTCCAATTTGCTGCAATGGCGTGCCTTGGAATTCTTGGTTGACTGGACGCTCGATTACCCACACAACCAAACCGGTTAAGATAAAAAAACAGGCACTTGCTATCCAAAGGTCTCCCGAAAGAGGTTTCAAAAAAATCCACATGTTTGTCTTTCCCTTTTTTATTAGCATTCCCTTTCCTAAGTCAGTGTACGGTATTGTAAAATCAACATACTGAGATCTGTTCGATGTGATTGTCGTATCTCCCACAACAGCATCGTAATTCTGTTGTACCAGTCCACACAGCCCCCAACCACAAAGACAAAATAATTTAATTAGAAATTTCATAAGTAATCATAAGTAACTCACAATGAAGATCAAATAGTTCTCGACTAAAAACAGAAAAGAAATACCAAATAATTAATAAATAAAACATAGATTTTTTCCGTTACCAACCACACATTTTTTGAAGTAAGTGTTTTGCATAATGTTATTTGTATCACGTTTACTCATCACTCATCATTTTGCACGTGGAATCCAAATAGCAACACTCATATAAAAATTGAATAGATTTTTAGATTATGTTTTTTACAGTTAATTTCCAAGTCAGCATATATACCTGAAGATAAACCTGGTAGACAAGATCGTTGTATGTCCCGGCCATATGTCCACTGGCATTTTGAAATGAAATAAACTCATAATGTACTTTATATGGCAATCCTCTAACTGCAGCTTCAAATACGTCTATACAGAACCCTGAGAAATATGTTCTATTGGCTTGGAAATCATGGTCCACGTTCACAAAGTCCTTGAACGCTCTTGGTGGAACACCAACTCTTAGTTTTATTTCAGTGCTCAATTGCAGCTTGGAACCCTTCACGAAGGTTGATGACCCTCCAGGCCATATGATTGTCTTCAGATCGTTAGCAGAAAGTAAATTTCTTCTGTTATTAATTTGGTGGAATGTCTTGTAACAAGGCCAAAATCCAACCCTTCTCTCCCCTTTTCCTATCACATTTACAATCTCAAATGCACTTGAAATTAGCTTCCCATTTGGATATTGAATTTCTCCACCTAAACCTGTAATCCTAGTAAGCAATATCTCCCGAAGAAGAATAAGGCCCTGTTTGGTAATATTATTCGAATCCATTAGGTTCAATAGTCTTGTGGAATATTTTGTCCTCGTCCTCTCTACTGCTTCTGCTAGAGCCCAAGTTGCATCATATGCCCAAATTTCATCTGGACTTAACTCACCTACTTCCATATTTTGATCTTCCGTGTAAAACTTCCTCCTCAATCTTGAAGTAAGATTGTGGAGGCGGGTTGATGCTGGAATATAAGTCTTTAAACCCAATACCCCTTCCATTGACTCAACCACAGATGAGTCCGTGGAGGAATGCAAGAAACTAAGGCTAGTTGATGTCATAATCCAAGCATACCCTTCACTCATCATTCCTAACTCTTTCACAGTTAGGAGAAAGCGAGGAACGAGCAAGTGTGACAAATGCACCACAAATACCGTAGTCCTCAACTTCATGATGTTGCGGAGCTCCTCGCTGATCTGTTCGTTTGTTGAGGAGGCAGAAATGCAACTTTTATATGCAACATTAACATTTGCCTCTTGTAAGGAATGGATCAAAGATGGAATGATGTCCCTCCCATAATTTAAGTTCTCATATAAAAGGATAACATCCCTCCATCTGAAAGCTTCAATGAGGGCACTTATTCCCGCAGCTTGAAATGTTTCATCCTGTGTGATCTCGACGAAGAAGGGATATTTTCTAGGTGGAGAATGACTCGGTCCAGAAAGAGACATTATGGGGACTTTAACTTCTTCTGCTAATTCTGCCAGTAGGCTTGCTTCGATTCTTGTTTGTGCACCAATTATTGCTTCCACTTTGATGTTATCCAAAAGATTAAGAGCTGCAATTGTTGAGGATCGTGAGCAGAGTTAGAAAAAAAAAAAAAAAAAATATTTAATGATAAATAATTGTACCTACTGCGTACTAATTCAAGTACCTGGCAAGATAACCTGTTAAGATAGCTGTTTGTTAGCTCATGTAATTACTGTAATTGGTTGTCTTAGGTTATTTGTTCTATACGCAAATGAAGATTTTTTTCTGTGTACACCTGAACACCGCCTGTGGTGGTACTAAAGTTCTAAATTTAGATTGGTAATTTCCTAGGCAATTATGTTAAAACTACAATACCAGCCCAAAGATTAAGGTCCAGCCCATTATGAAGGTCTTGGTATTCTAGAAGAATCATGCATGAGATTTTGCTAGAGAACTCTAGCAAGCATGTCGGTGGGCAGCAACACATGAACTAGATTTTTCTAGTTCAAATCTGCATGTTAAGTAGGTGATTAAGCTAGAAAGTTCTAGCAGCTTGTAATATTGTGTGGCTATTATGCAAAGCCTAGGTCGTTAAGTTCACCTATAAACTGGTGAAGTGCTATGCTAAACAATACAACAAGCAAGAAGTAAGAATCAAAAGAGAGATAAGTGAGAGTGAGAAGTAAGATTAGTCTTGTGAGGAGTGTGAGTGGTTTAGAGGGTGTCTCTAGAAAGAGTGAGTGTCATAGCTTTTAAAAAGTGTTATTGAGAGTTTGTGTGTTGTAATCTTTTGTGAGTTAATATAAGTAATTTTGTTTTGCTTTGTCTCTCCAACACTTGTGTTAGAATTGTGTACTCTAGTTTTTCCTCAACAATTGGTATCAGCGCAGTACGATCAGGGACCATCTCTAGTGAAGCTTTCAGGAATCGTGAGAAGTTTACTACTTCGCAAGACTGTTGGTTAATTTTGTACGGCTTATCAAAGTTCTGTTGACACGATGTTTAATCTTCAGGTTGTTGGAGCAATCAAGAAGTTGAACAACAAAAATTAGAACACATGGGCGACATGTATGGAGTCTTACCTACAAGGCCAAGATCTTTGGGATGTCGTCGACGGTAATGAAGTTACACAACCGAAAGAAGACACCAGCGGCACTTTGCGGAAATGGAAGATCAAGGCAGGTAAAGCCATGTTTGCCTTAAAAACCACAGTTGAAGAGGACTTGTTAGAGCACATAAGGAAAGTTAAAACACTGAAAGAAGCGTGGGACACCTTCGCCACACTCTTTTCAAAGAGGAATGATACAAGACTGCAGCTTCTCAAGAATGAGTTATTATGGGTGGCCCAACGAGACATGACTATTACCGAATATTTCCACAAGGTAAAGTCTATTTGTCGTGAAATTTCTAAGTTAAATCCTAGTGCTGCCATTGTAGAATCAAGGATAAAAAAATAAAAAAAATAAATATCCATGGGTTGATACCTAAATATCGAGGCTTCGTTGCTACTGTACAAGGATGACCGACCCAACCATCATTTGTTGAGTTTGAGAATTTGTTTGCCGATCAACAAGCTTTGGCAAAGCAAATGGGAAGGGTCTCATTAAAAGGTAAGGAAGAAACGCTCTACACCAATAGATATAAAGGCAGCTTTAAGTAGCATGTTGGTCAAGGATTGAAAAGAAATGGTGACAAGGAGAAAGGTCATTAGAATGAGGGGAGTTCTCGGCAAGGGGGAGCTCCAACATATCACAACAACTATGGTCAGTCCCAAAATAATAAAAGATTTGAGGAAAATGTTACAATTGTGGAAAGAAGGGGCCACATGGCGAATGATTGCTGGTTCAAAAAGCCTATATAGAGTAAAGTCACCAACTCGGAGAAGAAAAGTGAAGATAACTGGGACGCCGTAGTGTCTCTAGCCTTGGAAGAAGAATGAGACTCAAAAACATCATCTTGTTGGTGCTCAGAAAATAAGGTGTTGCCTGACTTGAAAGAGATTGAAGATACATTGTAGGAGAAAATGGGAGACCAAGCTACCCATATCCAATCAAGTCCAGATGAGCTCAAGGAATTGTTTGATGGTGACAATGTCAAACAAGAAGTACCTGAGAGTCCTTGGCAAACTGGTGTGTATCAACAATCAGGAGAAGTTAGACCTAGTAAAGTGGAAATACCAACTCCATAATCACAACTAAGGAAGTCAACAAGAATACGAAAGCCAAATCCTAAATATGCCAATGCTGCCATAGCTGATGGAGCAGCAAAAGAACCTGAGACGTTTGAAGAGGCATCACATAGTTCTGAATAGGTAAGAGTTATGGAAGAAGAAATCACTGCGCTTAAGCAAAATCAAAACTTGGGATTTGGTGCCAAAGGCAAGGGATGTGAAACCCATATCCTGCAAATAGGTGTACAAGATAAAGCATCGTCTTGATGGTTCAGTTGAAATGTCCAAGGCTCGGTTGGTGGCTCGAGGCTTCTCTCAGTAGTATGGACTAAACTATGATGAAACGTTTAGTCCAGTAGCAAAGCTTACGACCGTACGAGTCCTACTTGCACTTGCAACTAAAAAGATTGGAATTTATAGTGAATAATGCTTTCTTGCATGGAGAGTTAGATCGGGAGATCTACATGATGCATGCAATGGGCTTTTGAAAGCAAAGCTCATCTTGAGTACATGTGCAAGTTAAGGAAAACACTCTATGGTTCGAAACAAGCACCAAGGGCGTGGTACGGTAAGATTCCAGAATTTCTAACACAAAGTGGTTACTCAGTGGGCATGCAGATTCCTGCCTATTCATTAAAGCTAATGGAGGAAAGTTACTTGTCGTGCTGGTGTACGTGGATGACCTAATCATCATTGGCGATGATAAGGCAGAAATTCGTTGAACAAAGGAGAATTTGTCAGTTCGGTTCAAGATGAAAGAACTTGGACAACTCAAGCACTTTCTTGGATTATAGGTTGATCGCACACAAAAAGGGGTATTTTGTGTCAACAAAAGTATGCAAATGACTTGTTGCAGAAGTTTGGAATGCTTGAATGCAAACCAATCTCGACACCAATGGAACTTAATGCCAAGATGTGTGCACATGAAGGTAGAGACTTGGAAGATGCAACAATGTATCGACAATTGGTAAGTAGTCTGATCTACTTGACTCTAACTCAACCTGACATTCCTTATGCAGTTGGTGTGATAAGTCGATACATGCAAAATTCAAATAAGGCTCATCTAGAAGCGGTTCGACGAATATTGAGATATGTAAAAAGTATAATTGACTATGGTTTCTTGTACAAGAAAAGTGAATACGGTAAGTTGGTTGGCTATTGTGATGCAGATTTTGCAGGAGATCATGACACCAGGAGATTGACCACTGGGTATGTCTTTAGAATTGGCTCTGGAGTAGTTTCGTGGCGCAGCAAGAAACAACTAACAGTGTCCTTGCCAACCACGGAAGCAGAGTATAGAGCAGCAACAATGGTATCTCAAGAGAATGCATGGCTGGTACAGTTGATAAGTGATCTACATCAATTAGTAGATTATGATGTACCATGGTACTGTGACAACCCATCGGCAATTCACTTGGTGGAAAATCTAGTTTTTCATGCAAGAACAAAACATGTGGAGGTACACTATCATTTCATTAAAGAGAAGGTCTTGCAAGAAGAGATTGAGATGAGGCAAATCAATATAGATGAACAAGTTGCAGAATTGTTCACTAAAGGTTTGAGTACCAGCAAGTTTGAAAAGTTTCATTATCAACTCGGTATGGAGAAAAGAATAAGCTGGTGTTAAGGGGGAATGTTAAAAGTACAACACCATCCCAAATATTAAGGTCCAGCCCATTATGAAGGTCTTGGTATTCTAGAAGAATCTTGCATGGGATTTTACTAGAGAACTCTAGCAAGCATATTGGTGGGCAGCTGCAAATGAACTAGATTTTTCTAGTTCAAATATGCATGTTAAGTAGGTGATTAAGCTAGAAAGTTCTAATAGCTTGTAATATTGTGTGGCTATTATGCAAAAACAATACAACAAGCAAGAAGTAAGAATTAAGAGAGAGCTAAGTGAGACTCTGAGAGTGAGAAGTAAGAGTAGTCTTGTGAGGAGTGTGTGTGGTTTAGAGTGTGTCTCTAGAAAGAGTGAGTGATAGCTTCTAAAGAGTGTCCCTGAGAATTTGTGTATTGTAATCTTTTGTGAGTTAATACAAGTAATTTGTTTACTTGTTTTGTCTCTCGAACACTTGTGTTAGAATTGTGTACTCCAAGTTTTCCTCAACAAATTAGACAAGAGTTGAGTTATAATGTTCGTTTATTAGCCTAATTGGATTTTAGAAATAGGAAGTAAAGACTTTATTGATCTCTTGCTCTGCAAGTTGGAAAGGTTTGGACTTGTGTTGGTCATAAAAATTATATAGCCTACATGGCTCGGAGGTCGAAGTACTAAGAGCTAATTATGTCTTTTGGTGCTTTTAATATACTAATGCAAGTGTGCCAATTCCCTACCCAGCTTGACGGGGTGAATAATCTTGATTGGTGATGCGATGAAATGTGTTGCTGAATTCTGAATTAAGAGACTTCGACCGAGGAAAAAGCATTTTCAGCTTTGTGTTCTAGAACCTGAACACAATGCAAATCGCTATGAAGTTTTTAAACTTTTGCATTAGGTTCGGCAGCCTCAACTATATTTGTTAAATATAAGTCCGTCAAATTGGTATCAAACTATACGGACAAAGATACTCGAAAAAGATGAGTGTCTTAATCGTAAAAATGGTTTGGCCGTCAATTTGTCGTACTCTAAATGTAACATAGGAGTAACCAATTATAGGACATTTCACTTCGTCAAAAAGGCTTGTGACATACCTCTTTCGACGAAAGAATCAAAGACTTTTTGCTACCTGAGACTTGAGATAATAGTCAGTCATAGTCTTGGGAGAATCCCTGTCTATCTAGTCGGTTGAGACTCATCAAGAAAATGGACTCTACGACTTCAGTCTTGTCTATTTAGTCGGTGGTCTTCACTAGTTGCTTTAGGAAAATCCCATCTATTTGGTCTGTCATCGTCCGTCAACTGCCAACCCAAACTC